CACCTCCTCCGCCTCCACTGCGAGTATTCCCTTCGCCACATGCTCCAGGTGTTGCCCGGCGCGTTGAGCGGCGTACCCGCACGGTTTATACGCGCATGGAGCAGGGTGACGTGGCTGTACATCGAAGCCTACGACGAGGGCCTGGAGGACTACCTCGAGTACCGCGATCTCAAGGAGTGGGGGAAGCACCGAGAAGCCACCGCCAGGGGAGATGCCGTGATTCAGGCGAGGGGGGCGGGGAAGACGCCGGAGCNGTTGTAGTGTTGGTTTCTCGCGTTTAGGCGCGGTAGAGGCGTTCGTCATGGTCACCAACTCAACGCTATAGCTGTCTCTCTTGGTATCGGACTTGCTTAGAGAGAACGGATGTGATTGCTGCATGCTTTGTTTGCAGCACCTTCACCAGCCAAGGGTTGAGTAGAAAGTAAACGGCGGTATTGTATGTATGTACAGTAGTGGGCCCCCTATAGTGCACTTTGAATAGTGCAACCTCCCGATATAGTGCAGGTAAAATCTCTGCGCACGGACGGCGCCCTTAATAGTGCAGGATCTGCACTATTGAGGCAGATACCCGACATAGTGCAGGTTGGGCACCGCGGTGCCCCGCAATAGTGTCGCTTGTCGACCAGGGTATACCCTGTTGTGTCGTTTCCCTTTTATTTTTATCGGGAGAAGGGTCCAGTCGTCCCTTTCCCTCGTCAACGGTGCTACTGTTAGATATACTCGCAGCAATATCTGGTCGTGAGGATCCCAGGGGGATACGTGTTGGGAGTTTCGTGTGTTGTAGGGTACCACGGGCGCAGTCATGNGAGGCAGATACCCGACATAGTGCAGGTTGGGCACCGCGGTGCCCCGCAATAGTGTCGCTTGTCGACCAGGGTATACCCTGTTGTGTCGTTTCCCTTTTATTTTTATCGGGAGAAGGGTCCAGTCGTCCCTTTCCCTCGTCAACGGTGCTACTGTTAGATATACTCGCAGCAATATCTGGTCGTGAGGATCCCAGGGGGATACGTGTTGGGAGTTTCGTGTGTTGTAGGGTACCACGGGCGCAGTCATGGGGACCCTTTGGGCGTGGTCGGTGCGATGATGAGGCTTGCGTGCGTGCTGCGCACTTCCACTTCTTCTTCCCGCTCTCTCCACCACCACCGCCGTCTCTCTCCAATCAAGCTTCCTTCTCCCACTCTCTCTCTAACTCTCTCTTAACCTCTCTCTCTCGGCCTAACACGGCCGACTACCCAGTGCCCCAAAGCAACGTCCAGAACGTGCTTGCTGCACCCCGCGTAGTTTACCTTTCACATTAGTGCGACGATATCACGGTATCTGCGCGCGGACGTAGCCTTCCGGGGGTTGCGAAGTCACGCGCAATCGGTAGACTCCCACAACAACAGACACCATGGAGGGCATCGATCTCTCCGCCCTTAGCGGGGAAGAGCTATAACAAAAAGTGGAGGAGATCGTCCAGCAACGAGTACAAGCTGAACGTGAAGCCAACAGGATCAACGAGGGTGAGGTCACCTACGCCCAACCCCCATCAGCCGGCAACCCAGTCCCACCTACCGGCAACCAGCCATCACCCTCCAGCCAGGGTATAACAGCTACCTTCAACGACCCCAGCAGCGTCGCACACATCGTGGCGCAAGCGGCCAAGGCGACAGCTGAGGCCATCGCTGAACAACAGGGCTTTGCCCGCTCAGGCACGTTACGTGTCAATCCTGGCTCAGAAATAGAACCTTCGCTTGGTAGCGTGAAGAATGAGCAGGATTTGTATATTATGTTCGATATCTTTCGAGTAAGATGATTTCATGTTTCCAGGAGGAGGGTGTGCATGATGCGTTGGAACTGGAGGTCGAGGTCAAGGTCGGAAAAGGGGGTGTGAATATAGGAGACCTTCGGAGACTTTTTGGGAATGAAGTGGTAGACAAGTNAAGGGGGCTCCGCCGTATCGAAAGGTGAAGTCGCCGATGGTCGCCGATTATATTCACGGTGCCCCGTCTCCCGGTGAGACTACATACACACAGCTGACACGTACGCGCTGTACACGGCTACACAGCTGAACGGCAGTGCGATGCCGTCGCCTCTTGGCGGTATGGAAGCCAGGTTGGATAATAAATAGCAGTAAAAGCGAAGGGAATTCGGAGAGGGAGGTGCAATTTGTCGGCCAAAAGACAAGTGCCGCTGCTGCCGGCAGCGGCGGCAGCGGCAGCGGCGACAGCGGCAGCGGCGGCGGCAGCGGTAGTGGGAGCGGCGGTGCCGCATCACCTGCTGCCGGTGCCCGTGCCAGAGTTCCACCACGGATCTCTGCAGCTGGTTCAGCTTCTTCTAACAGTAGTAGTGCCTCTGCACTCCAACGTAGTGCTGGTGGCCCCACTTCCGCCGAAAGTCCAGAATCGATACCGCTTGAGGTACGAAACGGTCTGATGACTTGGTTCCAAGAGGCGGCAGACGCATCGAAGAAAAGAGCGCGCACGAACAGTGAGAAGCGGGCCGCCGACAAACGTGCGAAGCG